CCTGGCCAATATGGTGAAACCCCGTCTCTACTAAAAATATAAAAATTATCTGGGCATGGTGGTTGGTGGCAGGTACCTGTAGTCCCAGTTACTCAGGAGGCTGAGGCAGGAGGATCGCTTGAACCCAGGAGGCAGAAGTTGCAGTGAGCCGAGATCGAATGCGCCACTGCACTCCAGCCTGGGCGACAATGTATATTTTTTATTTCTTAAACTAACAGGCCAGTGTGTTAATTGTAATGTTCAAACCCAAATCTTTAGACGTAGATAGATCTTCCCAACCTGTCAATACTTGAGAGAGGTGTGTTGAAATCTGACATTATGATAATGTATTTGTCAATTTCTTACTGTAGTTCTATCCATTGTGTTTCTTATATTTGATGTACTTTTAAATTAAAAGCATATATTTTAGAAAAGCATTATATCTTCTCAGTGAACTGAACATTTTATCAAACATAGTAATTCTTTCTCTTCTTTCTCTTCATAGCGGTGCTTTTTGTTTTCTTTTTTTTTCTTTCTTCTTTTTTTTTTAGACAGAGTCTCACTCTGTTACCCAGGCTGTAGTGCAGTGGCATGATCTTGGCTCACTGCAACTTCCACCTCTTGGGTTCAAGCAATTCTCCTGCTTCAGCCTCCCTAGTAGCTGGGATTACAGGTGCCCACCACCACGCCCAGGTAATTTTTGTATTTTTAGTGGAGACAGGGTTTCCTTATGTTGACCAGGCTGGTCTTGAACTCCTGGGCTCAAGTGATCTACCCACCTCATCCTCCCAAAGTGCGGGATTATAGACATGAGCCACCGTGCCCGGCTCATAATGATGCTTTTTGCTTTAAAGTCTGTTTGACTGGATTTTTTTTTTTTTTTTTTGAGCCAGGATCTCATTCTTTCATGCAGGCTGGAATGAACTGGCATATGGATCTTAATATAGCTACTCTAGTTTCTTATTGATTAGTTAGATGCCTGATACTTTTTCATTTTCTCCCATCCTCCCAACATTTTATGTATTTGTGCTCTAGCAGTGATTTTTGTAAACAGTATATAACCAGGTTTTAAAAAATCCAATTTGACATCCCTTGTTGAGTTTACTGGCATTTATTGTGGTTACTGACATATGTGAATTTCTTTCTACTATTTTACCTTTTACTTTCACTTAGTTCCACTTTTTCAATATTTAGTTTTTCTCCTTTCTTACTTAGAAGCTTAATATCTTGCCAGGCACGGTGACGCACATCTGTAATTCCAGCTACTTGGGAGGGTGAGGTAGGAGGATCGCTTGAGCCCAGGAGTTTGAATCTAGTCTGAGCAACATAGCAAGACTCTCGTCTCAAAAAAAAAAAATTAATATCTCTGTCTTACATCTAACAAAAAGAACTTTGGCGTGCTTTTATATCTCTTGGCCTCTCTTCCTTCAACTTCTTACAATGTTGGTATTTTCTATAGATGTGCAGTTTTTGTTCTGTGTTACTATGAACATACTTAGCATTTTTCTATTATTTGATTTTTTAAAAAAACACACAACTACACATTTTGCTGAGGTATTTTGTTACCTTTCTATCTCATACTTATCACAGATTTTGTGTTTTTCTTTCTCTTTATCTCTTTGTATTTGAACTCTTCCTCCCAATGGGTTTTCAATTTGGGTTCCTCAAGGCCTCTGAAGACTTATATGCCTGGAAATATATTTTATCCCCTTACATTTGAATTTTATTTGGCAGGATATATATTCTAAAATTAAAGTGATTTTCCTTCTGTGCTTTAAACTTCACCCCACTGTTTCTTGCATTTAGTATTGCTGTCAAGAAATCTTACGCCGGCCAGGTCCGGTGGTTCATGCCTGTAATCCCAGCACTTTGGGAGGCCAAGGTGGGTGGATCTCTTGAGGTCAGGAGTTCCAGACCAGCCTGGCCAACATGGTGAAACCCCATCTCTACTAAAAATAAAAAATAGCCGGGTGTGGTGGTGGGCACCTTTAAGTCCAGCTACTCAGGAGGCTGAGGCAGGAGAATCACTTGAACCCAGGAGGCAGAGGCTGTAGTGAGCCAAGATCACGCCACTACACTCCAGCCTGGGCGACAGAGCTAGACTCTGTCTCAGGAAAAAAAAAAAAAAAAAAAAATGACATCTTGCATCATTCTTAATCTCACATATTTGTAGGTAATCCACTCATTTTCCCTGGAAACTTTTATAATTTTCTCTTTGGTTCTGATATTCTTAAGATTCACTATCCTGTATCTAGGCATGGGATGCCCTGCATCTTTTTTTCTTGCACTTCTGGGGCTCTTTCAGCTGAGATGTTTCATCTTTCTTCAACTCTGGAAATTTTATTTCCACTATTTTTTTTCAAATATTTCTTCCTTTTCTATTTCTTTTCTTTCTTATTTGAAAACTATTATCTAAATGCTAAAGTGTTCTTTTTTTTTTTTGACAGTCTCACTCTGTTGCCCAGGCTGGAGTGCAGTGGCACAATCTCGGCTCACTGCAATCTCCGCCTCCTGGGTTCAAGTGAATCTCGTGCCTCCGTCTCGAGAAATGGTGCATGAAATCACACCACTGCACTCCAGCCTGGATGACAGAGTGAAACTCTGTCTCAAAAAGAAAATTTCTGAGCTACTGTTTGAAGACTCATATTGCTTTCAACATACTTTTCCACAGTGTGATGGGTAGGGATATGGGTGAAGGTGGGAGAGGAAAGAAATTGCTTCTTGTGTCTGGGTACCATCTTTGCTGGGGACTTAGGATCGGCTCCATTTTGTTTCTGTTTCTTGGAACCTAGGTCCAGGATCAGAATTGCCATCTCTTTTCTGGTTTGCACATAAGATACCTTGTAACATATGCTGAAGGTATACATTTGTTTCATCTATAATCTACTCCTCCTGCCTAGGTCAGGGTCTATGTCTGATTTCTCACACAGTACGTGCCCAGAACCTGAAAGAGAGGAGACAGGGCTGGGTTCGAATCCTGGCCTCACCATGTATTAGATGAATAACCCTGGGCAAGTTACTTAACCTCTCTCCACCTCAGTTTCCCTGTGTGTAAGGTGGGGATAATTAGGATATCTTTTATACTGTTGTGGGTTTTTTTGTGACGATTCAGTGTGATTAGTAAGTCCTCAATATGGTCTAATCAGTCATAGTATTACAAAATTTTGAAAGAATGAGTGAATAGTTGAGTTCACAGGAAATGTATATGGACAGGTGGGGCCGGGATTTGAACCCAGCCCTGTCTGCCCTGTGCCAGGTCCTGGGTACGTACAGTGTGAGAAATCAGACAAAGACCCTGACCTAAGCAGCCTATGGCCTGCTAGGAGGAGTGGATTATAAAAGGATGAATTGATAAATGTCACATCAGCCCAACTTCCCTGTGGGAACCATTTATTGTATTTTCCTCTTATTTTGGTGTTGAGGCCTCTTTCTGGGGATTGGCCATAAACTCTAGCCCTGCCTTGAATGGGAACCCCAGGGATTTGGCCATATGTTCACAGTGTAACTTTCACAGAATACTCCTTTATCCTGGCACACCGCCTCCTGCCTAAGTGCCCGGCCTGTGACCAGCAGTCCCTCTCATAGCAAACTTGTTTATCCTGGCAGATGTCCTTGCAGCTCTCATATGACCTGTGTCCAGTTTATTCCTACCAAGACAGCTATTCTCTAGGAGAGCCCTGACCAGAAAAGAAGTCAGGTTCAGGTCTGTCGGGTGGGTGGGGCACAGAGGAGACAGCACAACAAAACACATGAAATAACAGAGGCAGTTTATTACTCACAGGTCCCAGAGAGAAGATGGCACAGCAAGCCTTGAAGGGCGAATGGAAAGGAGGAAACTGACCAGGACACAAGTACTCATCCAGTGGGTAGGCAGTGAGAGAGAGAGAGAGAGAGGGATAAGGACCCATGAGCCAAAGCCTTAATTAGAGTCCAGGGCATAACCCAAGCAGGCTTCCCACAGGGAGTTCTAACTGGGGGTTTAGAGCTAGCAGGCAGGAGTTCTGTGGAGCCACACTGTGACTGAGATGTGGCTGCCGCAGTATATCTGTGCAGCCTATGAGGGACACAGGAGTCAGGAGGTAAGTCAAGAAGGTTGTAGCTGTAAGTCTCATAGGGAGCTGGTCACAAGGAGGTGGTTGTATCAGGCAGACATCTGGATTAACCACCTTGGGGAACTGGGAGGAGGTGGAGAATTGGTAATTGTGTCCAGGTGACTAAGCCCTGCTTCTGGCATGAGACGATCCAACTTAGGTTCAAAATAAATCCCAAGGCAACATATAAATATAAGAACTCATTATTCTATGCTGCCTCTTTATTCCTACTGTGACACCTTCCCTTCCCCTTTACTCAGGATTCCAGGAAGAAGCCCTGGCCAGACAGCCCTGGAGACCAAGCATCTCCTGCTGGGGATACCCCTCCCTTGGGAGAACAACAGGAGCTCCATTATGCCTCCCTCAGCTTTTCTGAGATGAAGTCGAGGGAGCCTAAGGACCAGGAGGCCCCAAGCACCACGGAGTACTCAGAGGTCAAGACAAGCAAGTGAGGACTCCCCCAGAGCTCAGTCCTGGCTGGAGGAACCACAGCCTGTCTAGGGGGAAGGACAAGTCAGGGACCACTTGCTGAAGCATGAAGAGCCCTTGTGACAATGTTAACATTAACTGATGTGTAAGTGCTCCAAGCAGAGCAGAAAGAAGACAGATGATGGAATTGGAGAAGTGGGCTCAAACCTAGGCCCTGGCACTGTCATCAAGCAATTCACTGCCTCCCTCTGTGCCTCAGTTTCCCATTCTGTAAATCAGAGATCATGCATGTTACCTCAAAGGTTGTTGTGACCATTAAAGAAAGCAACACATGGAAATCAACCAACACAGGTCCTGGCACAGGGCATGTGCTCAGTGCTTGCTGGTCTCTCTTTCTTGAATAGGAAGGTCCTGTTGGCAAATTCTCTCAAGGCTGGGGATGACCGGGTACAAAAAACAGGGCAGCAATATGTTGATGTCACTCCCCTTCCCAGAACTTTTCTAAGACTCCCTAGGAGAGACCAGCCCCTCAGCCTGGCACTTGGTTCATGATGTGGGATCTTACATCCTTGCCAGGGTCATATCTTTGCCCACTTTTACCTGCAATCCTTGCATCATATTCCATCGGCTCCAGTCCTTCATTTTTGAGACCCACAGGAATCCTTCCAACAGCCAAAGAGTTGAGTCTAACTCTTTCCTGCCCAAACCCATTCATGGCTCCCTGGCCTTAGACAATACATCACAAGCACCTCCCCCGTCACTTAAGGTCCTTCATGACCTCCCTGCTATCTATTTATTTATGCTTTTCTCTTGGCCAACCCTTCCTTAAGCCTTTCATGCTGGTTCATACAACACTTTCTTTGCAATTTGAGATTTCTCCTCCTGGAAGTCATGCTTCCTTGCTTTCATCTGGCTTACACTATCTTTTCCTCCAAACATGAGTTCATGGGTGGTCTTGGGTTGGAAGAGTGGACTAGAGAAAGAAATTATACTCTCCCTCCTCTAAAACTGAACTAGTTAATTTTTTTAAATGCTAAACCAAAAGCAGCTAAAAATTCGCCAGTTACTTATCTAGGTTTCTCCAAACCCAGATAAATGACGATGTTAGAAACTTTAGCAAGTGGCCATGAGGAAATGAATGGATAATTCCAGTGGAGTACTGGGAGGACACTGATTCTCAATATCTACCACCCAAACCTCGTTTTCATCACTGTAAAGAAGTTGAATTGTGACTACTGTTTTGGTTATGACAGGTTAGATAATTTTGATCAAGCCTTGTGTTGAAAATAATAAAATCTTTTGGGGAAAAAATGAGAGTAGAAAAAGAATACTTCCCTTAAATAGTATAGAATGCCTGAAAATAAAATGGAAACTTAGTAGGCCAAAATTCTGGGGAAAGCCTGAACCCAGAGAAGTAAGCAGAATCACTAAGCCGAAATTCCCAAGGGCATTTGCTCATATTCAAAAAGGGAGCTGGCCGGGTGCGGTGGCTCACGCCTGTAATCCCAGCACTTTGGGAGGCCGAGACGGGCGGATCACAAGGTCAGGAGATCGAGACCATCCTGGCTAACTCGGTGAAACCCCGTCTCTACTAAAAGTACAAAAAACTAACTGGGCGAGGTGGCGGGCGCCTGTAGTCCCAGCTACTCGGGAGGCTGAGGCAGGAGAATGGCGTAAACCCAGAAGGCGGAGCTTGTAGTGAGCCGAGTTCGCGCCACTGCACTCCAGCCCGGGTGACAGAGCAAAGACTCTGTCTCAAAAAAAAAAAAAAAAAAAAAAAAAAGGGAGCTTTGGTTGTGTGGTCTTGCATGTGGCTCTGGAAATGAAGGTCAAATCTATGGCCCAGCGAAAGGTTGGGAATGTCAAAAGAGACCATCTCCACATTGGGTTTGTGTCAAGGTAAGGCTGAATCAAAGAAAACTGAAGACAAGGAAAAAAATCTGAACAGCTACCAGAGAAAAAGGATCGCCTTCAAAAGAAAAGTCATTTAATTGACAGCTGAATTATCAGTAGCAACCTGGAGAGTCGAAGAAGGCAAATACTATTTCTAACATCAATTTGTAATCTATACTCAGTAAAGTCAACTAAAAAATGAGAGCAATAATGATCTTTCAGAGCAAGTAAATGGGGAAACTTTAATAAAAACAAAAGATAATTTAGAATTCCTGACAAACACAATGGCTAAGTACCAAGGTAAGCGTATTTTACATGTCCTATTATCCATATATTATCCAGGAGGAGAGAGGTTTTCATTTACTAAAGACTTTGACAGGTTAATTATGCATGCTGTAAATTTGTATCACGATGGCTAAAAGAACAGAATCATAATATATAACTTTCAACCTAGTGATGATTAAAGGTATACTCTTAAAAACTTAGTAAACTGGCCAGGTGCAGTGGCTCACACCTGTTAATCCCAGCAGTTTGAGAGGCCGAGGTGGGGAGAATCACTTGAGCCCAGGAGTTTGAGATGGGCAGCATGGCAAAACACACCTCTACAAAAAAAATACAAAAAATTTAGCCAGGCATGGTAGCATATGCCTGCAGTCCCAGCTACTTGGGAGGCTGAGACAGGAGGATCACCTGAGCCCGGAAGATGGAGACTGCAGTAAGCCGAGTGATAGAGTGAGACCTGTCTCAAGAAAACAAACAAACAAAAAGCCAAACAACAACAAAAAACTTAGTAAACAAAAAAAAAGTGGAGAAATAAAGTAATGTAGAATTGGTGACACATACAGAAAACAAAATATAACATGGGACATTTACGTTAAATATGATTGGATAAATGCTTCAATTAAAAACAGAGTCCACTTGGATAGATTCCAAGTATATGATCTTTACAACATATACACATAAAGTACAAAGATAGAGAAGGCTAAAAGGGAAAGTATACTATGCTGACATTAATAAAAGGAAAGTTGATGCAGTCCTATTTTGGCTATACAAAATACACATTACCACATTGTTCCATTTGTGTGAACGTTTAAAACAATTATTCTTGCTTAAGAATATAGACACAAGTATTATGCTTATGGGCAAAAGCAGGGAAAAAAGATAATTACAAATATCAGCAAGGTGGTAACTCATAGAGAAGGTCAGGGAGGGTGGGAGACAAAGAGGGTTTCTAAGATTCCCGGGGTGCCCGCATGTTCTATTTCTCAGCATAACGGATGATTACACAATGTGAATGGTAAGTATATTTTTGATAACACAAACATGGAAAAATATTGCAAGCTAGGAAATGTCTGATCTTCTGCTAGTCATCTTTTCTTAAAATTTTTGAAGAAAAAAATAATTTTCCTTATGGAGATTATGACAAAAAGTTAAGAAAAATTCATCCTTCTTATCAAAAATCTTGATAGATTTGACAACATCACAATGGAAAGTATCACTAGGCTCAGTGGCTCATGCCTGTAATCCCAGCACTTTGGGAGAGTGAGGTGGAGGATCACTTGAGCCCAGGTGTTTGGAACGAGCCTGGCAACATAGTGAGACCCTGTATCTATAAAAAGAAAAGAAAAAGTTAGTGGGCATGGAGGCACACGCTTGTGGACCTAGCTACTTGGAAGACTGAGATGGTAGGATCGCTTGAGTCCAGGAGTTCAAGAACAGCCTGGGCAACATAGTAAGATGCCATTTCTACGAAAAATAAACAAAAATGAATTGGGCATGGTGGCAAGTGCCTGTGGTCCCAGCTACTCAGGAGGCTGAGATGGGAGGATCACTTGTGCCCTGGAGGTTGAGACTGCAGTAAGCTGAGATCATGACACTGCAGTCCAGCATGGGTGACAGAGTGAGACTTTGTCTCTCTCTATATGTATTTATATATATACACACACACACATATATACATGCACCAATAATGTGAGACCCCATGAAGTCGCTTTTACGTCCAGTCTCTGTTTCCCACTCTGTCAAGTGAGAATTATTAACCATACCTCTCTTAGGTTGGTTATGAAGATTAAATGAGGTATATATAGAAAAGCACAGCCCTAAGTCTGGAACTTGGGGAGCTTCAGTGAAAGTCCATCTCTTTCCTAAACCCTTATCTGAGAGGAGGTCCAGGCAGGGACTTGCTACTTAAAGCGTGGTCCAAGAGCCAGCAACATCAGCATAATCTGGAACGTCAGAAAAATACCTTGTTCTTCCCTGCCCGTTAGCCAGGCCGGCACTACAATTCAAAAGAATGATCCTTAGGTCAACAAGGGGAGCGAGAGGAAAAGCACAGAGATAAGTCCCTTTCCCTGGCCTCTCCTTCCCAAAAGGGACCCAGCCTTTTCGAAGCCTTTCTGACTTAGGTGCCCCGCTGGCCTACAGCTCAGAACCGTGAGCTTGTGAGTTTGTGTCCACGGCGGAGTTGGGAGTTTCCTGAACTCAGAGCACAGTTATGGTGCAGAACCATGGACAGCGCCAACCCTGGCTAGTAGGTCCCCAAATCGGGCATGGCGGATGGAGCGCCCCCTGGGGGCAGAACTCTGGCCTGTCTCCAATGCAGAGGTAAGAAGGTTGGAAAGTAGGGATGGTTACATTCTGTGCTGCAGGACAGAGGTGGTCAGAGGACATCCAAACTCCTCCTCAGTCTTCTTCTGAAGTCCCCCTCATTTTAGGGAAGAGAAGACAACTTTAGAGAGATGGTGCATTTCTCACAGGCCACTGGGATACTTGCTTCTCTGGGCTGACTCTGCCCTCACTCCTTCCAGGAAACATTCTCTGTGGCAGGCTCCATTTCTTCCTCCCTTCGTTTTCCAGTGGGTCGATAATTTGGTCTTGCTTTGAATCCATTATTTGTCCTGTCGTGGTGTTCTGAACAACAGAACATGATATGTGATCCTTTTCCATACCTGACTCTGTGCCAAAACCCGAATCAGCTCAAATGAAGGAATGAAGTATCTATCAGAAGGCTGGTTGTGAAGTTATATTTGGAGCTGAGGGGTCACAGAAACAAATTCTAAGTTTTCATTCTACATGAATGGTAAGTATTTATACTGGGAAAAGGATCCTGGGGCCTCAGTGGATCACAGGATGCAGAGAGTTGTCATGAAGGGCAGAACAGGCAAGGCAATGTCAGGGTAAAATGGATGTTGGTTAAGGAGGGAGAGATCTGATAATTACTGTGAAGATGGGAGGCCCATAGGGCTGGAGGAACTGTTAAGAAGTCAAAACTCAACACTGAAGGTGTGAGTGAAGGGCTTATCAGAAACCTGAGAATAAGCAAGGAGACATACAAAAATTCAGTGACTTTTTGAACTCAAATTGACACCAGAAAAACCACAAATGTCACAGCCAAGTGTGAAGCTGGAGCCAGGCCCTCAGTTCTGAGTCATAGTCTCTGACAATGAAGGGCCCCCTTGCAGGTGAGTTTCAGTTCCACCTTCTTGTGACTTCTTGTGTGACTAGGACTGGGTGGAGGGGCAGAAGATTCAGTTTCAGGGCTCCTAGACTCTTCTGCTCTGAGAGAGATCTCCAAGAGTTCCAAGTGAACAGAGAAGAGGTGGGGCATGCCCCATTAATTTTCTGAGAAGAGGTAGGAATGGATGCCTGGAGGAGGCCACATCTGAGTGAGGAATGAGAAGGCAGGGGGCACTGAACAGGTTATCAGTAGGCCTGGGGTGAAAGGAGGTCAACTTTCACTTCCCTGGTGGTTGTTTGAGGGAAGAGGACTCCTAATAGAGAGAGGAACTTGGAGCAGCCCAATCCAGGAAAAATCCCTAGCTGTCCTCTTTCTGTAGCTGCCTTGATCTGCAGATAGAAGAAACTCATCAGGTGATGTCAGGAGTCCCAGACTCCCCCCGCTCCAAACCCAAGATGCTGCTGTTACCCCTGCTGTGCGTGTGCAGGGGCAAGAGTACTGCAGGAAATATGACTTCAGAGAAGGTCCTTGGTCTTCATTTTGGGGTACAGCTTGGAGAAATATGCAGGATAGAAGCTGCAGGTCTGAGATTTGAAGATGTGGTACAGGACAAAGTACCTCTGTATCCTCATGCTTTGACCTTCTCTCATCTTGAAATTTTTGTGCTTACTCCAGAAGAGCCTATGTCTTTTGGTTTGTGGAAGAGGTCAACATTTCTATTTCCATGATCCTCCTATTTCCACAAATAGAACAGATCAAAAGCTGCAGAGGAGGCACCAAGAACCGTAGGGTGATTCCACCTCCTTGGGGACATTCACTGAGCAACAGAGATGCCAAGAAGGAGAGGAGCATGACATTTTTCCCTCGTGAAGAGAAGACTTTTGTGAGATATTGTCACAAATAGAAAACATAACCTCTAAATGTGAAAGGTAGAGTACTGCTCTACTCACAGAGAGCTTAGGTGTTCCTGTGTCCCACATCTGGGCCCCTCTCATGCTTGGGGGCCAATTGCAAGTTTGGAGGCCTTAGAGAAGGTAGATTTGCCATTGCCTTCTTCTTTCACATTTTAGACTCTGTTATGTTTGGTACTGGAACATCCAGGTGAGGATGGCCCCTTTCCAGAACCAACAGCCACGAACTGGATCTGAGACCATCTGGGGATCCTGGAGTGAGGAAAGTGTAAAGTGCAAGCTCTTCTGATCATCACAACCACAATAAGTGTGGGTGGGTGAGTGGGTGGGTGGAGCGAGGTGTGTCTCAGGGTGACCCATTGCCAGTAACAGTTCTTGGGTGTCCTATATCCTCAGCAGGCTCTGACATGGTGAAGTCAGAGCCCCCTTGCACCCAGATTCCAGGATACCTAGGATGTGAATGTCAGGTGTCTGCATCAGCACTTTTGGGGAGAGGGAGGACCTGGGGCACAGACTGGGAGGGTATGGTATCACGAGTGGCCTCTGCATCTGCCCCTGAGCTGGGTCCTCTGCTCTCAGCTCAGGGTCCTTCATTGCCTTCCACAACCAAACCCTTCAGATGAAGTAGGTTGCTGATTCCAAACACAGTCTGAAAAGCGAAGTAGAACGTTTGAGTCTCACGGAGATAGAATGATAAAAGTTATGGCTGAGGGCTTGCCAAGGAAAAAGGGCTGTGGCAAACACTGCGGTGCTCTGGTTGGGACCTTGTAGAGTAAGGATGAGCTGGAACTAGATGATACCTCACAAGGATTAAAGCCAGATCAAATTTCCTCAATATCTGATCAAATCGAAGTGGTCTGCTTGCCACAAGCAAGAGTAAATATGCCCTGAAGAATGATAATGTGACTCAGAGTTTAAAATTATCTCTATAGATTTTTGTCACTGCACCAGACAAGAGTGTGGCCAGGGAAACAGCCACCAAGAGTTTTATGAGAATAAAGGGCTTGCTAGAGGACCTAGAACTTAACGCAAATGTGGTAGAGCTGGAAAGTGATGCTTTGGAGAAGGCAGGATGATCATGAGAGCATCATTAAGCAGTTCAATTGAAGAACAGGTGTGGGTGGGCAAGATAGAGCTTGCAGGGATGTATGAAAAGCCAAGTATGTCCACTGTTACCATGGGACCCCGAAGGGGGATCTCAGAAAGTTCTATGGAAAACTGTTGCCTATGTAGCTACTGCCTCTGTAAGCACACAGGCAAGCAGGTGGTGGTATACCTGAGGCAGGTGTAGGTCATCCCAAGGGCTGGCAATTGGGAAGCCGGCCTGCATGTGGAGCAAAGCAAGGAAAATTGCCTAATGCATTATGCTATTTTATAGTTGTTTACAGCAGGAGGGTAAGTCTGCTACTAGTTACTCCATTCTGCCTGGTTCTTTATTATTATTCGTCACAGTCACAGTTTTAATGGTTCTTTTTAAAATGTAATCCAATACAATGCTGAAACTCTCCATTTTAGCATCTATTTTCACATGATGACAATTAAAGTCCATACCTAAAACTCATATCTAGAACACCTGTAATTACATCTGTGCTTGATGCCCAGCCTCTTGGTATTCAACTATTTTGTCATATCTCCTGGTATTCTTGTAAACTTTTTCATTTTTAGTTGAATTTCCAGTATTTTGTTTGAAAAACTGCAGAGATTTTTTGGAACTCTGACTGAAATTTTCCTCCTCTGGATTCTAGGACAGTCTAGAACAGCACTGTGCAAAGGAACTTTCGTGATGATGGAAGCATTGTGTCTGCATTGT